TATACAAGATGGATTTGGTGATCCCCCCAGGATTACACGCAGGAGAGAAGGAAGGAACTCTGCACCAAGTCCATTCTCATAGACGTAACAATCGTCAACCCGTCCGCGGGTCGAAGCATCGACAAGTCGATCCTTAAGCCAGGATCCGCCCTCGAAGATCGAGCTGCATGTAAGGCAAATCACTATGCGGGAACTTTCAACCCGTCAAGATCTACCGTCCTTACTGCTGCTTTTTCAACGAATGGTGGTCTTGGCAAAGGCACCAATCGACTCATCGTTGCTATCGCCAACCACTTGGCGCACGAAGCTTTTTGCCGGGGGAATTTTGACGACGAGAGGGCCTTAGTTCGCCTGAAAGCTTTTCATACTAACAGGATTCGGAGACGGTTTACCTTCGAGCTAGCTCGTTTTCTGTCGATGCGAACTCGCGATGTGTTCAAACGTCATGGGCTACTGATCGACCAACTTCCACCATGGCCAATCGGTTGGGATCTCTGCGACAACGATAGTAATGAGGGTAATTCTTTTGGGAGTGACGAAGACGAAGGAAAGGGAAGTAGAAAGGAGGATGAAGACGACGATGGAGGAGGTAAACATGGAGGAGTGGAAGAGAGCAAAGGGTTTGAGCCAGATGACCTTCCCCACAACAAGAAACGTAGGGCTAGGGAAGAACTGCCCAGAGATTCTTCTTGTCGAAATGAGGATCAGAATGATGGTAGCGAAAACAAGGAGGACACTGGTGAAAGTACTCCTAAACGAACTCGAGTACTAGGTAATAGCCTTGGTAGACGCGTGCATTTTTCGTCTGTTGCTGCTGTTTCTGTTTTTAATCCGAAGGATAGCTTGGCCTCCTCCATGCTGCCCCCTCACGGGGTCCCAGTTCATGGTAGATACAAGTGTTTTGTGTTTTCAACCGCACTAAGACTGACGTCTTTTCATTGGTCAGCCGGTTAGCGCGGTCGATGCTGATAATAAAAACACACACACACGGACATCAATTTGAGAACAGTAATTAGATCAGGGATCGGGCTGACAGGCGGTGTTATTCAACGTGCGCAGAACCCGACCCATCTAAAACAGTTTTTTTGCGAAAAAAAATCTCCGCTATCGCTCCGGTGTTTTTTTCGCACGCGCGCTTCGCGCGCGGAAAAAACTCCTAAAACTGTTAACAGTTTTTTTTGCGAAAAATAAAATCCGCTATCGCTCCGTATTTTTCGCACGCGCGCTTCGCGCGCGGAAAAAACTCCTATTATATATATATATTTATCCTACGCACCCTGCGATCTAGTCTATGGGTTTAGCATGGCAAACTAAGTCCTGCCTGTACTATGAATGGTACAAGACGGGTTTTAGAATGCGACATGCCTAACGCCTAACTAACAAGAAGAGTAGGCTTTACCTCGACACCAATCACCCAATTTCCTATTTGGGTTCTTCGTTCTTCGCTACATCGGGGCGGTCGACTTTGCCAAGGCAGTCGAGAGGAGCTCGGGAGAGGCGGTCACAACGAAGCGTTTACGGAATCAAGTGAGTCGCGAAAGTACCACCCCGATAAGTGTATGTTGCCTGTAGCTGGCTGGCTGGCTCTAGCTCCAATACTTATGCATAGCAGGAGCATGTCTTTCATGTGGTTCTGTACGACATCGGAATAGTCTCGTGCATGTTGTTCGTGTCTTCGTGCGCTCCAGCATGTAGTCTAGACATGCAGAAAAAGACATGTAGACTATACGCTTTCGTCCCGTTTCTATGTATTGTAGCAATCTCCTCATCGTGCTACGAGGAGGCATAGTCTAGACTACATTTATTTGTGTACGAGATGCAGGCTGTAGGTAGTACCCACTTGAAATCAACACATACTGCATGTTGTGACGGTTGCAGGCGTGCCCATCGCAGCTGCTGTAGGATGCAAGGTACTTGGTCGCAAAAGGACGGCGAAACACATGTGTGCGTTGAGCAGTGCTTCATTGTCTGCACTATGTAAGTCACTTTCGAACTTCAATGACGAAATAAATGTGGTATGACGTGGATCAACGCAGCTGCGAGCGAGCGCGAAGTCATGACCACACGAAGTCAAAAGGAGAGAGGGATAAGCGACGTCGGCGAGTCTACCCCCTACTCTAATAGAATGCTCCAGCAGTGCTGTCGAAACACATACCAGGTACATATCATGCCCAACACGTCGATACACCGGGGCATGCCGAGGGATAGGATGGTATCTCCCGTATCATGTGACGGGGAGAGTCCGTCGTAGTCTGATCGATATTTCAGGTGGCTCAGTTCTGTGTGTTGGGAGTGTAGAGCAGCTGGGCCATGACGGGCCGTGGTAGGGGAGGGACTAAGGAAAACGTGTTGTGTTCTTCGGGGGCGTGCTCGCGCTCGTAAATCTGTCACGGGCATCAAGCACTCGTCACGCTCATCATGTTCAAACTACCAAAGGGATCTCTCTGAACCTCCCATCAAACTCTTCCCACTTCCAAGGAAAATACCCAGAAAGTTCTGATTCCTCCGCATCTCATCACTGCAATTTCCGTACGCACGTACTGAAGATCTTACCCGCCATACTTTGCTACGAGTACCCCCAATATATCTAATAGTCCCCCTGCTCGTATGCATCGTCATGCTTCGGCAAAAACCAAATTCTTCTTTACCATCTCTCCAAAACAAACAAGAAAATTCACAATGCAACCATATCCAATATCCTCCCTGAAGCATTCGAGAACCCTCCAAGTCAATCACAAGAAAAATTCCAACATATCCAAAACTCCTTCAAAACAAAATACAAAAATATCACAGCGGAAAATATTCAGGTGATACCGGACCTAGTCGACGAACTAGAAGCAGTGGGCATCATCGTCAACAGGCGGAAGAGCTCAGCGCTTCCCCCACCAGGGCACGACGTGACGCCAGCAGAAAGGAGGCTACTTGGCGATGCAGGCCTACCGATTGCGGAGGATGGCATCAAAGTTGTGGGAGTCCCCATTGGGACGGATGCCTACGTCGAGGATTTCGCAATGAAAGTGATAACTGAAGGGGGTGCAGACAAGCTTGCTCGCATGCTGGTGCGCATGCCAGACAAACAGGTGGCGCACCTCGTCACATCACAATCGCTGACACAGCGATCCGGATATTTCGAGAGAGGCATCAATCATAAGCTAGGGAGAGGGGCTTGTGAACGCCTGGACAATATGGTGATGTGGGTCCTAGAGTCGAAGAAGAGTTCTTCCAAGACGACTGCCAGCCTGACCGCTTCAAGTTAAAGCCCTATCAACAAGCCCAGGCGCGCCTGTCGACAGGAGCCGGAGGACTAGGATTACCAGCAGCCGTTATGCAAAGGTTCTCAGCTTCTCTGGGTAAGCTAGTCAGCACCCTTCCTTCGGTTATAGCCGCGTTACGGGGTCCATTGGGAGAGTCGGTGAGAGTTCGGATACCGGGAACCGTGTTGGTGGAGCGGATGGGGGACGCTATCAAAGAACTCAACCAGGAGCATGCAATATCGGTGGAGATTCTGAAGGGGATCCTTCCCCCGTCATGGGTTGAGTGGGCCTTAGAACCGACAGGAGAAACCGGAAGGCGTCAGCCCACCGTTGCAGAACTGGCAGCACACGATGGGGAATCTACTACGCCGAGGAAAGCCCAGCACAAACTGGGCAAGGCGATTAACAAGATACATCTTGAAAAGTTCATGGAGTCTCTGGAGCACCTCCCTCAGGAGGCGGTACCGCCCACGAGGGACAACGCCTTCGGAGGTCAAGAGGCCAGGAACATGGCATACGCACGAACGAGAAGCTCGCAAGGGCAAGGGGGACACGCGTTCCTGAGAGCGGCTCCCACCGACCGAGCTCGAGAGATTCCATCGAAAGAATTCGTCTACGCGACGAGACGCGCCTTGGGAGTTGAAGAATCCTTGGCGGAAATATGTCCCAGGTGCCACAGAGGCAGGGAAGGCAGGATCATCACAACGGTGCACGCAAGGACCTGTCCAAGGGATGGAGCACAGGTCAACATGCACGAGCCGTTAAAGTACGCACTATCGAGAGCACTCCACGGCCTTCGCGTCAAATACGACGTTGAAAGCGGGGCACCGTTCACGGGGGAAAGAAACCTGAGCATGGACATCGTCATCAGGCCAGGAGCCCTCACGAACGCATCTTCTCCGGGGTACCGCAACAAAGGAATACTCCTCGATGTCACACACGCAGACCCGCAAGCACAGGTACACTTGCGGAACGGCAGCGCGACCAGCGATGGAATCGCAGCCCAAGCATCCGAGGCGCGAAAGCGTCAGCACTACGCTCGTCCGGGACACGTGTCCTTTGACGAACGCAGCTTTAAACTTACCACCTTAGCCGTGGAAAGCTTTGGCCGCCTTGGAGAGGAGGGTTACGAGTTCATCGATGAACTTGCGACACATGCCGTGGGAGGAAGAGACGGAGGAACGATGGCTCTGAAAGGAGTCTTCACGGAACGACTTCTTCAGATCGTTTCGGTGGCTACACACGTGGCCATATCTCGGCGAGTGCAGAGGTACAAGCTCGCATTGCGCGGGCGTCAAGACGCCGAAAAGAGGAAAACATCGACCTCGAACCAGTCAACGCCAATGATATGGGGATGGAGTGTAGATGCATCGTAGAACGCGTTTTCGTTTGAAGTTGGCATCTTGTTTGAGAGTAGATGTGACAGATTTGCGTAGAGTAGGGTAAGATGTTGTCATAAACGGAGAAGAAAAGGCTTTTCCGACACGGAGATGTAGCATGGATCAAAGCATTTGTTGGATTTCAGCTTTTACAAGAGGACATCAACGCAGTAGTATTTTAGCAAGCTTACGAACGCATGTAGGATACGATGAGGATTGTCATTGGTTTTATTTCAAATTGAAGAGGAGATATTTTTACGATGTAAGTGACACTAGAAATTAGTCCTACAATAATATGTTGTTGTACTTCGTATTGGTTTAGTATTCATGTAGAGTATGAGACATAAAGTGAAAGTTTTCTGAGGTACATCTGCAATTGTCGGAAGGCAAAAAAAAAACAAAAATACCACACTGGCAAAACTCCTCCAAAACAACCAAGAAAAATCCCAACACAACTCCAACACCCTTACCACCTTCATCATACTCTCTCTTTCTCTTGTCCAATCTCGCCTCCCTCTTTCTCCGCTACATAATATGAATCGCCCCCAAAACATTTCCTTCACTGCAAGTTCATCACAAAGTCACGGTGCAACGCAAAATACTCCTTGCTATTAGCCTTCGTCAAGAAACACGCATGCTGAAATTGCGTCGGCACATGAGTAATTGAACTCTTTTTCCTCTCTACCAGCTCCCTGATAAAGTGATGCCGTACATCGATGTTTTCGATGTGTTTCGAGTTGGAGTTCGTGATCGGGTTGTACGCGATCTGAATCGCTCCCTGATTATCCTCGAACACCGGGATGCACGGCATACCCACATTTGGCAAGATAAAACGCCACACCTGCCTCAAGAACAACACTTCCTTCAAGACTTCGGCAATTGCCACATACTCTGCTTCCGTGGTAGAAAGCGTAACGCACTTCTGCGCCCTCGAAAACCGAGTCATATACACCCCCCACACACATCACTAGCCCCCCAGACACCGACCTCCGGTCTGCCGCCTTGCTTGCATAGTCGGCATCCACAAACACCTGCATGCTCATACCTGTCACGACGCCCCTCTCAAACGTAATCCCCATCCAACTCGTCCTGCGTACGTATCCTAAAATACCGAGTGCTGCCTTCCAGTGCGCCATCTTGGGAGACGCGCAATACCGCGCTACTGCTCGAACTGATGTCCGGCCGTGTTTGAATGGCNTCGATGTGTTTCGAGTTGGAGTTCGTGATCGGGTTGTGCGCAATCTGAATCGCTCCCTGATTATCCTCGAACACCGGGATGCACGGCATACCCACATTTGGCAAGATAAAACGCCACACCTGCCTCAAGAACAACACTTCCTTCAAGACTTCGGCAATTGCCACATACTCTGCTTCCGTGGTAGAAAGCGTAACGCACTTCTGCGCCCTCGAAAACCGAGTCATATACACCCCCCACACACATCACTAGCCCCCCAGACACCGACCTCCGGTCTGCCGCCTTGCTTGCATAGTCGGCATCCACAAACANCGAGTGCTGCCTTCCAGTGCGCCATCTTGGGAGACGCGCAATACCGCGCTACTGCTCGAACTGATGTCCGGCCGTGTTTGAATGGCCAACCACATCAGAGATCCTATCAACTCGCGAAAAGGGACATCAGCACTCGCTTCATTCACGTCAAAGTCGGAGAGCTTTACGCTAACAGGCAGAGGCACACTCTACCCCCGCTCAACGCCATACGGTGCAACCAGCTCTTCGGCAAACATCTGCTGCGAAATCTTCAACAGCCCTCTCTCTACTNTGTCCGGCCTTGTTTGAGTGGCCAACCACATCAGAGATCCTACCAACTCGCGAAAAGGGACATCAGCGCACGCTTCGTTCTCGTCAAAGTCGGTGAGCTTCACGCTCACAGGCAAGGGCACACTCCTCCCCCACTCAATTCCGTACTCTGCAGCCAACTCTTCGGCAAACCTCTGCTGCGAAATCTTCAGCAGCCCTCTCTCTACGTCTCTCTCGTAAAAGCACGCGGATTACCACCTCAACTCTCCAAGGTTCTTCACGGGGACCATCTCGTTGAGATCCCTGCCAAACTGGTCACACCATTCCTTCTGCCCTACAGCAAAAGTGANGTTTTTCACGGGGACCATCTCGTTGAGGTCCTCGCCAAACTTGTCACACCTCTCCTTCTGCCCTACAGCAAAAATGTCATCCACGTGGACCACGATGATCATGATCACACGTCCCTCCTCCATCAATCGAAAAACACACGCATCTGCCAGACACTGCAAAAAACCTAAAAGTAACAAACACCTCGTCAGGTGCGAATGCCAATGTCGTGATGCCTGCTTCAAACCATACAGACTCTTGCATAGCTTCACGATCAAGCCAGATAACCTACCACACCCCTGCGGTAAGCGCATGAAAACATCCTCATCAAGCTCAGACTGCACAAAAGCCTGCTGAATATCGAAATGGCACAAGTCAAGATTCTGCTCGTATGCTAATGCTGNACTCTTGCATAGCTTCACGATCAAGCCAGATAACCTACCACACCCCTGCGGTAAGCGCATGAAAACATCCTCATCAAGCTCAGACTGCACAAAAGCCTGCTGAATGTCGAAATGGCACAAGTCAAGATTCTGCTCACACGCTAATGCTGCCAACAAGCGCACACTAGACACTGATACGGTGGGTGCAAACAATTCTCCAAAATCAATCGAAGCCCTCTGCATGTCCCCGCGCGCTACAAGTCTTGCCTTGAATTTCGTCGGCCGTCCGTACTCGTCTGCCTTACAATTGAAGACCCACTTGGCAATGATCGCGTTCTCTACTGGTTGCTTCACCGGACTAAACGTTCCTGCATCCAACAAACCGAAAAACTCTCGACCGACTGCATCATCCCACAACTCTGAATGTTGAGACCGCATGGACTCCTTCAGCGTCTTCGGCACTCGGAGGTCGCTGGCGAGGCAGTGAGGAAGGTCCGGCGTCTTGTCAGGAGGGCGCTTGGCACGAAGAGTGGCTTCCACATCCTCGCGGGTGGCGAACATTGCTGCGAACATGTGCAGGCCCCCCGGCCCCCCAGCTCCTGCGGCCCCCCCGCTCCCATGGCCTGCTAAACTCGTATCTTGCGGCTGTGGGGGAGCGGGAGGGGCGAT